TATATATATATATATATATATATATATATATATATATAGCACTAAAATTCTTCTGTACAGGAGATTTGTATTTATGCTTTGGGCTATCACCTAATACTGTGTTATGAGTGTGATTCCTCAGTTGGCAACTGGAAGAGATCTTTTACTTGATGAGAATGTGGTATTTCTCCATCACATGGGAGTTCTCTTCCAATATGCCGAGTTTTTAAGTTTCTGGTTGGAATGAATTTTTATCAAACTCTTTTTAGTTATTCAGACTTTATTTTTAAAATACTATACATTTTATATTGATTTCTTAAAAATTCTGCCACCCCGATGTTCCTGGGGAAAGTTTACCTTCTCATAATCCTTATCCCTCTTGATATTGCTTTGCTTTTTAAATAAATGGTTGAGACTTTTTCGTATCTAATGCTTATGAAGGATCTTCATAAATATTTAAAGTCTATCTGAAGCTAGTATAATGACCTTAAACAAATAAACTCTTGAATTACTTTTTCTTTTTTCCTGAGGTTGGAACTCAAGACCTTTTGCTTGCTAGGAAGATACTCTACTGTGAAGCCAACTTCAAACCCCATTTAATTCTGGTCATTTCTGAGAGGCTCACTTGCTACCCACAACCACTCCTAGATCATGATCTGTCTATTTTATGTATCTTATCATAGCTGGGGTGACAGGTGCATACCAACACATCAAATTTCTGTGGAGAGTTAAGTCTTGCAGACATTCTGCCTGGGATGGCCTGGAATTGTGATCTTCCCAATCTCAGACTCTTAGGTAGGAGGACAGGTCATGTTACCATGCCCAGCTGTGGGTTGAGGAGGTCTCCAACTAATTTTACTTGGGCTGCCTTCAAACCACAACCAATAGCACCCGGCCTTCTCTTCAATTACTTGAAAGCTTTTTGTGGACATCGTTATTGATTCTTTGCTGTTTAATAAACTCATCAATGAATCTACCTGGGGAGAATTTTTGTAGTAAAGACTTTAAATTAGGAATTAAAACAATCTAAATATATACAAGTCCATTCATGTTTCCTTGTCTTGTGAGCTTCATTTGTGCATTTATGCCAGTCAAATGTTCAACTTCATGTTTTAAATTTCCTTCCATAAAACTTCTCAGAGCATTTCCTCATTTTTTTAGTATCTGTAAAATGTGTATTGATTCCCTCAATCTCTGACTTGCAATACCGAGAAAGTCTTTGTTTTTTCAGGCTCAGGGTGGCCAAATGTTGATCCATTTATTAAATTTTCCAAAAGTTTTACTTACATTTTCTGTTTTATTGATATTTTCCTATGATCCAGTCTTTACACTAACTAATTTGGATTAACTGGACTTATTTTTATATTTACCTGGAAGCTCATTATTGGATTCAGAAATTTTTGTTTTAAATTTTTATTTTAATTGACAATGAAAATTGTAGATGATGGGTGGATAGAATATCATGTAATTAGGCAATACATTCATTGCATAATTCATGTTCAAATCAGGGCAAGGTAGCAAATCTTTATTGTGTGAAAACATTCAAAACATTGTTTTCAGAAATATGTAATACATGATAGCTTATAGTCACACTACTGTGTAATGAACACCAACCCTTTTCTTCTAAGTCACATTCCCCACCCCTCCCTCACCCTATTCTTTCCATTCTTGTAACCACAGTTATCCTCTGCATTTCCATTGGATCACCTTGTCCAGATTCCACATGCCAGTGAGATCATGCCACTTACCTTTCTGTGCTGGGTTCATGTCACTTAACCATAATAAATTGGTTTCTGGTCCCATTCATCTTATCACAAATGATGGGAGTCCATTATTTTCATTGGCTGAATAGTATTTCACTGTGTGTGTATATATACCACATTTTCTCTGTCCACTCATTGGCTTGTTGACATGAGTTCCATTTCTTTGGTAGTGTGACAAATGCTGTAAAAAGCATGGCAGTGCAGATGTTGCTTCAAACTGATTTCATTTTTTGTGGATATTTCCAACTAAATACTGAATTGGTGTATCATACTGTAGTTCTCTTTTGAATTACTCATAGTGTTTCTCACAATGTCTACCCAAGCTTACATTCCCACCAAGTGTGCTCCCCTTCCTCCACATCTTTGCCAGCATCTGTTACCTTTCATCTTTTTATAGGAGTCATTCTCACTGGTGCAAAGTGATATTTGATTTGATTTGGAATTCCTTATGATGCACCATGCTGAATATTTTTACGTGTTGACTGTTAGTTGTCTTTAGCAAAATGTCTACTTAGGCTGTTGCTTGTTTTCAAACTGGATCTTAGCTTACAGGCAAAGAACTGTAACAAATTGGAAAAGATTCTGGCATTTATGTTTTCCTTTGACATCTAGATAAGAAATACCTGTTCTGTCTAGGAGATACTTGACCAGGCTCAGACCTAACTTTGGCAGGTGATTACAATTTCACCAGCAACTTATCTACTCCTTCCTTCTACTTCAAAGGCATGATCTTTCCTCCTAACTTCCCATTACAGGGTGTTCAAAATGTTTTCAGTTTCAGTATGCATCCCTAGAAATATGTCAATCATTGGTAACACATTTTCCTAACTCTAGAGTGCACACAGTGGTTCTAAGATGAAGATAAATTTCTTTCTTTTTTTTGGTGTTCCTCATCAACTGGTAAATCTAGCCATAGCCTTAAAGTTTAGTATCCTTTGGAAGACTTTTCAATCGATGATATCAAAATGTTAAATAAACACTACTCTTCTAAGAGAAAAATGCTCATATCATGCTCTTTGTTATTATAAAAATATTAAAATGCTTGTATTCTTAATTATAGCCTATAGGCTCAATGCATTTAAGACAGAGTATCCAGTTGTCTCCAGGCTTGAATTGTATGTGTGTGTGCCTGTGTGTACATATGCCTCCCTCCAACTATTGTAGTTCCTAATAGATTTTTTGTCCTGGCATCAAACAGATTGGTATCTTATTATCATCAGGAAGATTACTCCTATTCTCCTGCATATGCTCTTTTTGTCAAGTGAATAAAATCCAGTTCTACACTTTCAAGTTTACCCAGTCCAACTTAACATAAGCAGTCATACTCTTACAGGTAATGTTTTAAAACTTATCTATTTCCTTTCTTGCTTATGCACAAAACAAAGCTGACGCTCTTATGAGACCAGGTTTTCCAATCCCTCACTAAGGCAGTCAGTCTTTCATTTCTTCTTAAATAATTGCATTAACCAAATCCTTCAAATTTACCTAAAAATGTCACCAGAAAAACAAGCCTGAAGGGGCAGTGGGAAGAAACAAGATTCTCCAAAAGATAGTTATCCTTTCATCCCTAGAACCTGTAAATGGTTCTACCTTTCTGAATAACAAGGATTTTGTAGGCGCACATAATCAAGGATCTACACATACTAAAGTTAGGTGAACCCAATGTAATTTCAAGCGTTCTTATAAGTGACCATCAGAAGACTCAGTATCAGAGTTAGAAATCTACAGGTTTGCTGCCTTTGAAGATGGAGGGATCACAAGCCAGTTCTTTCATAGCATGTCTTTCGATTTCAGTTTCCATGCGTCCTCATGATTCGAAATTCAGATTTCATGTGCCAGCCAGTAAGATAGGGGAGAATAATGAGGTAAAAGATAAATAATGTCAATGTCTCCACTGCTATTAACTTCAAGTGCATCACTAGGGATGGTGTTTGCCTGTTGAGGAATTAGTTGTTTTTTTTTATTTGTAACTGACAAGTAGCTGGTGAAGAGTTGCTTTCACTTATGAAGTATAACATCCACTGATATGTGTACCGTGCTTAGTTTATTCCATCTTTTTTCACTGCAGACTGAACATTTGCTTCACTCTATAGGTATAAATAGTTCTTAAGATTTTGAACAAAACTTTATTAAACTACCTTCAGAAGTTTACAGATTTATACTCCTTTGGGTACTGTATTAGTCTACCATCTTTCCACATTTACATAATTAATAGTAGGGATGAAAAAAAAGGATATGTAATTGCTTTTCTTTGCATTTTGTGACCATAGCAGAGTCTCTTCCATGTCTTTTTGTTCATTTCTTATAGCCAATCATTTTTACATACCACATTGCATGTTTTTTTCTTGTCATCTATGTTTACTTACTGTGTATATTATTGCAAATGTAGGAACATGGAACATATTTTCTCAATTTCCTTGCATTTTAATTTTGGTGAATATAAATTTTAAATGTATTTATAGTTCCTTTGTGCTACTGAAACATCTTTCCCAAAGAGAATACTCAACTTGCTTGCCTAGATTATTGAGAGACTCAATTTTCCATATGTATTCCTTTTCATCTTCATAATATGTCCCTCTAAGCTTCCCAACCAACAAAATGCTTCTGTATTTCAATATGTTCTCCCTAAATTCAGGAAATTATAAAGGTAGAATTTAAATCAGTGGGAAAATACATATAAGTTTTAAAGAAATGGATTCCTACCTCTTGTTATTTATAAAAATAAAACTCCACATGGATATATGTACATTAAGGAAACTTCTTTTATAAAGAAAATAAGAATCTCCCACAGCATGACTATACCATGTGCTTGTTCTCTATTATAGTTTTCTACTAATAAACTTTTCTATCTTTAAAAAAAAATGAGCTCTGTAACGTTAGCTTTCTCAATAAATACAAGGCAAATTATCTGTCCCTGGTCAATTTGATAGTCTTGGACTAGTGAAATGAATATTAGGAAAACTTTCATAATATTATGGTATTTCTAGGCAACTGCCTTCATCTTGAAATACAGAACATACCTACAACGAAAAAAAGAATCTTTCTACTGTTCATACAAGTTTTACTTTGATTATCCTTCCTAGAACTCAAATATACCCCAAAGCAAGATCTTTATGTGGCTAAATTTAAGTAGTAAATAACAGTATAAAATACAGATTTGTAAACCCATACGAAAACTATAACAAATATTAACATATTACACGGAAGCCTAACAGAATACAGTGGAGAAGGTAACTGCGTTGGGAATAAAGAGAAAATACAAAGTCAAATCCTAAGGAAGGAAGGTCTTTTGTTTCCAACACAAAACAGATGTGCTCCAAACGCTCTCAGCGATCACTTCATGATAAACCAACCTGAGCATGTGGTCCGGGTGTCACGGATGTGACGCTCCCGGAAGCAGAGTCTCCATCACCGGATGGAGCACTCCCTGAAGCACGCCGCCCACCGTCACCGGATGTGATGCTCTCCAAAAAGCACGGTCCGGCCTCACCGGAAGTGGCGCTCCCCCGAAGCGCGAGGTTCCGGCCTCACCGGAAGTGGCGCTCCCCCAAGCGCGCGTCCCGCGTCACCGGACGTGGTACTCCCGGAAGCACTTGGCGTGGACGCCCTTCTGGCACTTCTCGCAGCGGGTGTTGGTCTGCGAGTGGCAGAGGGCGCACCGCGTCCTCCGGTCCTGGTGCACGATCCAGTGCCCGATCATGTCGAAGCGGCTCTCGGTCTCCAGGCGGCGGCCGCGGCGCGCCGGGGAGGAGGCGTCGGCGTTGCTCTCCAGGTAGACGCAGGCCACGTACCTGCGGAAGGCCAGCAGGTCCACGCGCGCGTCCGGGCAGCAGATGCGGTGCAGCTGCCAGGCGTTGTTGAGGGCCGCGTCGATGACGTACCCGATGAAGCTCGAGTACCACTTGAGGCCCCGGATCTTGACCTTGTACTTGGCGATGTTCTGGTCCAGGCGGCTCACGCCGCCCACCTTCTCCTGGTACAGCTTCACCAGCGACGGCTGGCACACGGGCGGGCGCGTCTTGGCCGCCCCCGCGGGCCGGCTGCTCAGCCGCACCGGCTCGATGCCCACGGCGTTGGAGCAGATGTTGACCACGCTGCTGTCGTGCCAGCGGCACACGATGATCTCCTCGCGCTCATCCACCTTGTAATCGAACGAGCCCCTCTTCATTTTCCTCAGTTCCTTGGCATCTTTGAGCGGACACCGCTCGGTTCTGTACTCGCAGACCGTCCCTGTGGCCTTCACCCCCTTCTTCCGCAAAATAGACATCAGTTTGACACTTGTAAAAACCTTGTCAAAAAATATGTGATAGGGCAGACAGCCACGCTCCTGAAGGGCGTCTGCAAACTTGATCACCATGCTGCCGCCGAGATCCAAGCCGCTGTCGGGCTTGGTGAGCAGCGTGCCCTGGGAGGGCTCAAACCACACCAGGTAGCCTCTGCTGGTGGTCCCACACCAGATCTTATACCCCAGCCGTACGGGCTTCGCTGAGTGCAGCTGCTTGGACCTCCGGTGGCCAAAGTACTCACACATAGACTCACCGAAGCTGTAGAACTCTTCCAAGGGCGCATGCTTCTGGAAATTGCCGTTCATCTGAACGATGAGTGGCCGGACCTTGGCAAACCTGTCACTGTCATCCAGGTCATTGTTATCTGCAAAGTGCAGGTATGAGAAGATGAGCTCGAATCTGTCCCTTCGAATCGCATCAGCTACGAGACGATGATGGGAGTCAGGAGAGGTCTCCCAAAACATCCTTCTCCTGGGATAGGAGATGTACCCACTTAAGATCAAAATGCCCAGCACACACTTCAACTCCTGGACGGTGAGACCCAGGTTGACATTTTTCTGCCAAGCATAACGGTTGGTTTCGTTAACGATGAAATTAAGTGTGCCTTCATCAAAAAACAGTTCAAAGAGGCCCACAGGGCTGAGCTCTTGATTTTTGAGATCCTCAATGTGAGGATCTGATGCTGTCCAATTGCTGAAGTCAGGTCGAATATCTCTCTTGGCCCAAAAGCGCTGAGGCTCCCCGGCTGCCTTGCGCCTCCTCTTGGCTGGCTGCAGCTCCAGGTCGTCATTATCCTCCCCCGTGCCAGAGTCCTCGGCCACGACTGAGGCCTGCAGCACTCTGCCGGGCAGCTGAGCACCTCGCGGGCCATCTTCATCACCAGAATCTTCATCGGTGAAGTCCCCTGAAGCGTTGTCAGGCGGTGCGATAAAAATCTCTTCCCTGCTGTGGCCTGAGTCTCCATCCTCCAGAGCATTCAGAACCTCCAGCAGCTTGGTGGACTTCACCTTGGAGTGGGCCCGTCTCCCAGCAGCCCCTCCCCCTCTGCCAAAACAGGACACAGAGTCAGTGCCAGGCACCTCCGGAGAGCCAAAACTGCAGCAGGAAAAGAGGAATGAAGCCTCATTGTAAAGCACTTGCTTGAACCTCTGCACAGCTCTGCCTTGACCAAGCAGGTGAACTTCCCAGATAAATACCTATTTATGATTTTAGAGGTAGAAGTATTTTGTTGATGCCAGGCATTATGTATTTTGCCTCTTGAATACAGTGCTAAGTCCAAGCAGCTCTAGTATTGCCTCAGATAACAAAATGCTCATGAGCAGCCCTGGCTAGCATCCATGGCGCCCACCACTCTCCCCCTCGACTCAACGGACCCTCCAGCTCTGCTCCTGTGATCGATCTCACCAACAGAAGTTTCCCTTGCTTCCAGCTTCTCTAATTCCCCTTATGTAAGCTCTTATTTCTCAAGTTTAAAAGCTGACTCTTCCACATAGCTCCCTTGCTGGTATCTCAGGCATACTGACTACAATTCAGAAGAACATTTGGGAAACAGGAAATCTCCTGTCCTTTGTACTCTATGGACACAGGAACCAAATGGATGGTAAAACAAAATCGCTTGTAATGCATATCAGCAATGAGAAGGCACTGTCCAGAGACTGGCAGAAGAAAAATCCCCTCGCAGCCTACACAGTTTTAATTATAACTGGAAGATACAGATAGCACATCAACAAACAAGCAGCTAGACAGGTAGTGACTAGTGCTATTCTGGACCGGAGGCTGAGAATGTCATAAAACAGTGATATGAGGTGTTCTGTGTAAGATAAAATGGTAATGGGAGGCTCATGAACTAGAAGGCTTGAAATGAGGGATAAGCACAGCAGGTGGAAGGAGACAGGATATCCCAGGCAGAGAAAACACCACAGGCACAAGGCTGAAGGCACAGCGCAGACAAGAGAGTAGAGCAGAGGCAGTGTGAGTCCAGCCCCACAGTGCTCAGAGCCCTGGCAGGGCTTCAGATGTGTTCAGCAGTCACAGGAAGCCCCAAGGTGGGTGTGTGAACTCAGGCCAATGAAAAGATTCAAACTGTAACATATCACTCACTGCTAGAATGGACTTGTGGAAAAAAGGTGTGGATGACCCTGTTGCTGCCCTACATACCTTCCCAGGCTCAATGACAAGGACAGAGGAAGGATGCAGGATTTACCACTCTTTCCACACAGACCTGCCATGGATTCTTGAGTTCACGTTGTATTAGAGATTCACTCCACTACTCCCCTGCCAACCTCTAGCGGTAAGGACGTCACACATCGGATCTCTGTGGGAGTCAAACACCATCCTCCTCCTTGCCATAGTTTTACTCAGTTCACAGGCCTGTCAGGACACGGCATCTCCACTCTTACTGCCTGAGCTCTTGCTTACCCCATGACCCAGTGCCAGAGTCCTCAGACACAACAGAAGCATGAGCACTCTTCCAGGCAGCTGAGCTCCTCGCTGGCCATCTTCACCACCAGAGTCTTCATCAGTGAAACACACTGTAGGCATGGAAAAGCTAGCAGGTACCCAGGTGGCTCCAGACACAGCTATCTGTTGTCTTAATTTTGAAAACTGGAAAGCTGAGGCATGTTTTACATCAAGTGCACAAGCTGGTGCTACATGCCCACATGCCCACTTTGTACTGTACACTCCCGTCTGCCACATCTCTTCTCCCTCTCCTCCCAACATCTTTTATCTTTCTGAAGACTTAACTGTACAGTAAGCAACTTACAAATGCCACTGAGTCAGCATTTCAGAAGCTGAGGAGTATTTCCATAAAGCATTTCATCAAACAAGACTCTTACCTTGAGACTGAAGCCATGATGAGCTGAGAAGATAAAGTTGTCTTTACTCAGCATCCAAGAATCTGAAAGAAAAATTCAATCTTTAATAATAGAACCTTCTCTACCATTTAAGGAGGCAGCATCTGCTACAGGCTCACTGGGGGTGAGAAAGAAGTGGACTGGACATACACAGGAAGTGGTGTCTAGCAAATGGCTACTTAGCGGGGAAAAAGAACAGCTCTTCCTCTTACAACTCATGCCGTAATCCATTCTAAATCAGGACGGTTGTCAGAACTATTGCCATCTGCAGCCAGATGAGTCTTCGCTGGTGGTTCAGGCTCAGACCGGTGCATTATGGGATACTTAATATTGTCCTTCCACCCACTCAAGGGTAGTCATCCTCTCATTCCCTTAAATTGTTCAAAGTTGCCCTGAATGACGCTGTTCTAGAGTAGTGCTGCTCACAGAACTTTCTGTGATGATGGAAATATTCTGTGTCAGAATTATCTATATTGTGTGGCAGTCACAAGCCACAAATGGCCTCTGAGCTTTTGAAATATGGCTGTTTTTCAATTTTATATTGTTTAACTTAGTCATTACTGTATTAAGCATTAAATTCTAAATAAAGAATTGTGAAAAAGTAAAATGTTAAGCTTTCTAAGTATTGATATCCAAAAAGGTAATTTTTCTTGAAGAAAACAAGCATTTAAAGATAAAGTTGATAACCTCATCAAATTTCCAAAACATCTGTAGCAGTCATCCTTTAAGATGGCTCCAAACTTGTCTTGGTATTCCTGCCCCGTGTAATCTCCTTCATCAGGCTGGACCTAGTGACTCTTGGCAAACAGAACATGGCAAAGGAATGGGATATCTCTTCTAAGACAGGAGACTGGGCTCCAATTTGTTGTCTGTCTGTCTCCTCTCTCTCTCTCTCTTCTGTTCACTTAGGGAAACCAGCTATGGTGTTCTGAGTTGCCTTAGAGAAAGACCCATGGGTATGGTCCTGTGAAGGGAATGTGAGTGAGGGAGAAGGGGCCCTCAGCCCGCACGGGAACCCACAGGCTGATGAACACAGGAGTACTTCCCTTCAAATTGGTCCAGACCCAGATAACGGCTGGACTACAACTGAGACACGCTGAGCCAAGTTCACAGAGAGTGCCCGGGTCCTGAGTTCAAACCCCAGGACTGGCACACACACACACACACTTACTGTAACTTATCTAACCAGTGTTTTCTAGGCCATAGGTGAGAGCAGCAGCCCCTCCCCGCATCCATCCAACCACATTCCTGGCCAAGACGGAGGATCTCCCTGGCTCCCCGCCGAGAAGCCCTCCTCACCTCCACCCCGAGGGCGGGCGGAGCAGGAGCCAGGAGAAGGCTGATCTCGACGTGAGCAAGCGCCAGGGGGGCGCAGGGCTCTGCGAAGCGTCAGCCCCTCCTGCCAGCCAGGCCTGGCTCTCAAGCTCCTGATCGACGCGGGTCCACGGCTGGAATACAGCACGGCGCGTCCCGCCCGGCTCTCCCCGCGCGGGGCCTGCGGGCGCGGCGGCCGGCCCTGCCCACCGGGTAAACCGGGAGGCGGAGGGCTCGGGAACCGCACCGGGGACGCTTCTGCAGTCCATTGTGAAAACACCTCACGATGCAAAACCGCTTCACAAATGATCTTCGAAATGTAAAAGGCCTCAAAACTAGCCGCGTGCAGAAGAGGGCGGCCGCCTCCCCAGCTCGGTGTCAGAGGAAAAGCTGGCAGAGAGGGGCCCGCGGCCCTCCCCGAGGCCCCGCCCACGACTGCCCGAGCCCCGCCCCGGCCTCCGCCCAGGCCACGCCCTCGCCCCGGCCCGCAGCGCCCTCTAGCGTCCGCAGGCATTCGATGCTCCTGGGCCTAGGGTGATCGGAAACGAGTCCGCCCACCGGCCCCGCACGTCAACGCCGTAGCAAAAATGCAACGCCCGGGCCCGCCTCGCTGGCACGAAGGCCGGAACCTTCCCTGCATCACAAACAGGAAGACGCCTACCTGGGCTGGCCAGGCCCGAGCCTCGCAGGCCCGCACCAGGCGCTGTGGACACTGCTGAGGGTCCAGACGGTGCTGGGCACAGCCGTCGCGGCCGCGCAACGTCCGGCACCCGAGCGCACCCGAGCCTCGGCCCGCCTCCAGCTCCGGCCACGCCCCCTGGGCGTGGCCTCACCCGAGACCCGGGAGACCATCGAGATGCAGAGACCTCCGGACGGCCTAGAGGGGCCGCGCCGAGACTTCCGGTCGTCCTTGGACGGTGCCTGTCAAACGTGGCTCGGGCGAAACGCGCAGAAGTGGGAGTCTCGGGCCTGCCGGGTTGACCGCGCGCGGATCGGGCCGCCGGGCTCCGTGCCCGGGTCAGAAAAGCACACAGCGTGGCCATCGGTGAGACGCCGGGAGCCAAGAGGGAGGCCGGAAGGTCTTGCCTTCTAGATGTGAAATTTCCGTGAAACGGACAATAAACAAGTAAAAGTAACAGCAGCAAGTCGCTGCGGACCATGCCATGAAGAAAGAGCAGGCGGGCCGGGGGCTCACGCCTGTCACCCTAGCTACTCAGGAGGCCGAGATCTGAGGATCGCGGTTCAAAGCCAGCCCGGGCAGCAAAGTCCGTGAGACTCCCATCTCCAATAAACCACCAGAAAACCAGAAGTGGCGCCGTGGCTCAATTGGTACCAGGCCCAGAGTTCAAGCCCCACGACGGACCAAAAACCAAAACAAAACCACAACGTATAATTCAAGAGAGAAAAAATACCTGAAGCAGAGAAAATTACATTTGCAAAAGATGTCAGGTTAGAAGCATGCTTGAAAGCTTGCGGCGGAGCGTGGCTGGAGCCAGGGAAACAGGATTCACAGAATTCAGTCAGGAGAGCAGGGGGAATTAAATAAAGGTAATGAGCTACACAGGTGGGGGTGGGGGGTGCTTGGTGCCTGCTTCCAAGACACATCAGAAGAATCCATCTCTCCCCCAAAGAGGAAGAACTTCCCCGAGTGGTCCAGCATAAGTCCTGCGGCCGACATAAACAGAGTGCTTCATCTGCCTAAGAGACTTGCAGCGAACGTGTAAACATCCTTGCCACACCTGCCTCTTGCTACAGAAGTAGACTTGACTGTCCTGATTACTTTTCAAGGCAGCTGGCAGGTACCTGCCTGTGCGCCCCCTGGTGTTTGCAACATGAATTGCCAAAAAAATTGCTTCTCTCCAATGGTCTCAGGCTTTATCATTCGTGGAAAGACTGAGCTGGTATCACGAACAGTGGATGGTAGAAGCAACAATAGATGAATACTGGCAGCAAAGCCGGTGGTGAAGACAGCAGGGGCAGAGGCAGCAGTCCCTGAAGACATGCAGAGAACAGTTGGGCCGTGAAGAACAGAGGCAGCCAGAGGGAACAAGAAAAAGATGGCAGAAGGGGGTGGGGGGAATGTGAAGGGGAGGAAAGAAAAAAAAATGGAAATCCAAGGAAAAAAAATTCTATGAAGAACCAGAGAAAAGAAGCTGCAAGTCTTGGTCCC